AAAAACAATATTTATGACTAGCGACTCTACCTCGCCTCGCGCGGCTGATTCCTATGTTTTAAATGTACATCTATTATATAATTATAGTTTGAGCTCAGACCAATAAAACTTTTTTATTAGTCTAAAACTTTGAGCTAAGACATTATGTAGTTTAGTTTCATTATAATATTTAATTAATCTATATACATAGAATAAAAGGGTAAGTGATCGCTGTCTGAAAATGGAAGATATTTTGGTAAAACTATTATTATTGGTGGGGGTTTTGAACGCAATAGAACCCAAAATAATGATTTTTAGATTTTTTTCTTTTTATCTGTGCGTTTGTGCGCGATAATTTCAGAAAAGTCTTAAATGGTTTTGGTGAAGTTTTCATAAATGTATTGTGGTTAAAGGTTAAGCTTTACTTACAAATTTGATATTATGTTTTTTCATAATAAAAAAGTTATGTCAATTTAAAGAATCACCTTTTTCTTGTCGTGGTGGGGGGGCTCAGTAGTAGTAGTACGAAGCTAAGAAACGCACAGGGAGGTTGCCCACTTCGGTGGGCGGTGGGAATGCGTAAGCGATCCTGCGACGCCCCATTAAGACGGGGGAAGGTTTTGTTGGGTTTTAGTGGGTAGTACTGGCTGTATTACGCCGGTGAGTCCCACACGTCGTGCGTAAATGCATTTCCCAACGTAAAAAAAAAAATTAAATCCGTTCACAGTCCGGAGAGAAATCACTTAACATATAAACCAATAAAAAACGCACACCCGAATCGTTCTCCTTGTTTTTTTTAATTAAACAAAAACGCGAGTTTAGCTGTGAGTAAGAGTGAACCGATTTACAAAATTTTTATTTTGTTTGAAAGGGTATACTTCCCGGATGGTTCCATATAAATTTTATCGCAATCGGTTAAGCGGTTTTTAAAAAATCAACAATACATATTTTTTTAAACAAATTGTTTAATCGAATATGTTATTAAAAACTTTCTTGCTACAAATTACCTGCTTATTACGTCTACACTAAAAATATAAAAAAAAAAAAAAAAAAAAAAAAAAAACCGACTTCCAGGCACTAACATGTAAAAAATAACTAAACGGGGGCTTTCATTTAGAATACATAGTTACCTAATCAGATATTTTCGAAGTCGGTGCCAGCGGACAATATTTTAAGATATGAATATCTAATAGGTAAATATGTATTTTACGTATCAAAATATATTAGATTTCCTATGCATCGGCTGGCACCGACTTCGAAAATATCTGATTAGGTATGTATTCTAAATGAAAACCCCCGTTTAGTTATTGTTTACATGTTAGTGCCTGGAAGTCGTTTTTTTTTAATTTTTATAAGACGCAAGTCCTGCATAGCATAGGATAGCTTTATTATAATAAAATACACATTAATGCTCGTAATTGTAAATACAGTTATTGAAGTTTAATCGACATAATCCCTTGCTCTCGCGCAGTAAATCATTTTCTGTTATTTATAGCAGCGCTGCGGCGGTTACAGATGAATTGTTTATGTCGTGTGTAAGATTTACTTCCTCGTTCTTAAATGTTACTTAAAAATAGATATAAACTATGTAGAATTATAAGCCCACAGGGATTTAAGATGTGCTAAGAAAATAAATGTTGGCAATGGTAGTCCAGTGGTAACGCGCTCGATTGGGAAACTGAGGGCTTAAATCCTGGGTTTTACACCTCTGATATTATCATTTGCGAATCATTTCTAACGTGATTACCACTTGCCTTACTGGGAAGGAAAAAATTGCGAGGAAACCTACTAACTATATATGCATAAAAAAGAACTTTTCTGTGACGGACAGACCACCTGACAATGTTTTCCTACATTATGTTAGTAGTGTTATATTGTAAATGATTTGCATATGAAATTTTTAGAGATGCGAGACCCGGGTTCAAACGCTGCTTCACTTTCGAACAAGTACGATACAACTTAATATTTTATGGTTATAAACTAGAAACAAAGCCGTAAAAGTTTTCGACGATTAGCGAGATGTTTTTATGTTAATGTCATTATACTCATATATAGTTCTAATTTAAAATTATAATTTGCTATTAACGGGTGTTAATGTCTCTATACAGGCGATGACACTTTAAGCCGTTGGAATTCAACATTGTATCAACTTGTTCTTGCGGTTATTTGTTCTACTCATTCTAATTATATCAATAACATATTGTTAAATTGTGACTTTGCTTACATATTTTTATATTGTGACACATATTAATAAAATTTACCAAATAATCGTTAATTTGACGAATATGCATAGATTTTATTGTGTCTTTACAGGAAATATTTAGTTTTACATGAATTTATTACCAACATAATTATATTTAGAATTTGAATTTTATTATATCAAAACAGTCAAATGAAAGTTGATTAAGATACTACTAATAAGCTTAGGAAAAGATAGTTGTACAATCTCGCAGTGGCATTGCATCACATGTAACTATAGACTGGAAACTTGTTTCCATACAAAGATAACAATGAAGAATCATTATAATTAATGTCTTTACAGAATACTATTTTTAAAGTTATTTTTATTCTTTTGCTTTGGAAACGAAGTTACTTTCATATTTCGTGCTCGCTGATAGCTTGACTTTTAATTTAAAAACTTATGAAGACTAATTTCAAATTGCAAAAAAAAAGAAGAATATTTAAAAAAAGTTTTTATATCAACTAATGAGCATATAATTGAAACTCAAAGGAAGTATGTAGGGAAGCCATAAACAAAATTCTACGATATTCGCGACGCATTTTAAATCTGGTTTCCAATAACCCGTTACGGCAGGATTCGCTGTTTAGCAACTTTTACACACTATATAAATTTGTTTCCTTATCAGTCTGTGTATAATTAACAAAGAATAAATCTAATTATTAATCGACTGTATGCAAATGAATCGTGTGTTTGGTATATTTGATACAGATTAAATTTGTACTAAACGTAAAATATAAATAAGTAAAAAGTATGACGTAGAAGTCTCGGTTGTCTTCTACGAAGTGGTCTTCTCTTAGGATTTTCTTATAATTATTAGTTGCCTCAAGAAATTCACCTCCAAATATAATATATCATTTTATAATTAAATACTGTTGCAAGTTATTTTGAAATTTGGATCATCAATGCACATTTCTAACTTACAAAATAATTTTTGTATAAGCCTTTCTTTCTCATTGAACTTCTTTAGGGGATAAATTTTTTAAATGACATCCTTAGTGTTTCAATATATAACAAAGAATAGTTGTATTAAATTATATACATAAGGCTAACCAGTTAAGATTGTGTTGTCTGTCAGCGAGAATGGATGAATTTAAGATTTTTTAATAAACAATGATATCGCTATTATTTCGTCGTTATTACTAAGTATATACATACAGATATGTGTAGTCTCTATAATAAAACTGAAGAATCCTGAGCAATTAAACAAGTGTCTAATAGATTTCGTAGCGGCGACTTTCGTACCGTTTAGACAAAACCTGTTTTACATATAGAAATTAGTCAAATATGTGAAGGAATTGATAAATAACATTAATTAACCACTATAAAAATAACTATCGGTTATTAAATTTGCATGTTTTTGCTTCATAAAACAAATATCAAAACATTTCATCTTCTTAAACATTGACAACCACCTGAACGAATAAAAGTCATAAGTTCGAGTTCCAATCTTATCTGACAGTAATATTATCAATGCGAAAGCTTGTGAGTGAGTGAGAATATAGAATATTTATTAATTCCTTACGTTGTTAAAACTTAATAGATTTAAGTGTTTGAGGTAATGATAGCTTTTAAATATTCTACCTAAATGAACATATAGGCTTTTTCAATCGCCGTATCGATTACCGAGCAAACAGAGTGGTAACGAAAATTAATACAAAAAAATAATAAATGCCGCTAATAACTATAAATTAATGATTTAAAAACCACATATAAAATAAAATAACTTGATACCACTATGTGGAGAAATTACCCGCATGATTGTGCGGTGGTCAAATTGCGGACTTGGTGGATTTCATTGCTTGGTTTGAGATGCAAGAGGAAGCGATGTCATGAAATATAACAATACTTAGGTTTAATACCAGACTTTATCTATTATTATAGTACAAATATATTCTTGTAGAGCTATTATTATGAAGGTTACCATTTCGTATGATCTATTAATATTATTTAATGTACTAGTAAATCAACTATTTTATTATTATATAACAAAATAAATGACATTTATCGTTATATTAGAAATGAAAACGGTAAACCAGAATTGAATAATTTAGGATTAGATATTTCATTTTGCTTCCGATCAAAACTTGCACCAAACTTCTGACCGCAAACTTGTATAGTTCTCGGTAAAGCTATTACCGAGTGCGGTAACCGTCCCCTCGGTGTTACTCCTATAGTCAGCTACTGTAGTTTACATAGATATAAAAACTTTAAGCTTTTTAATATTGTTAGTTAATCAACTCTTTTAAATACAATTAGTTATATTTCATACACTTTCAAGTTATAGATTATATATATGCATATAGTTTATATGTATGTACATTGTAGATATTTACAAAAACTGAGTGTTTTAAGACTATAAATATCTATATAGTAACCAAAGAGTAAAGTTATTTCTATTGTTTAGCAACTATTTTATTTTTATTTTGTATCAATACTAACATTTTAATAAGAACTAACGAGCGATTGCAACGCGTTGAAGTCTTTTATATGACAGCTCAAAGCTGTACATTGTACAATAAGAACGAGTGGCAGGTATAAAAGGTATTTGATTTTCTTTGATTTATGCTACGTTATGAACGCTACAACTTGTAATGCTATGTTAAAATATAAGTGAGCTGTGCGATTATTTTGTCAAGATGTCAAACGAAAATTATATTACTGTATAATTATCGTATTATAAATAAAACTTGCTTTTCCTTACGTCCTTTTTTAGAATAATATATATTTTTGTTATTCAGAAAGCAAAGAAAAAACAAATACAAATCTTTTAATATACTTACTCATTACAACTGGTGACTAATGTCTGTGTGACTGTGACCAAAGTGGTGGTGGTCGTGGTCAGCTTGTCTCCTACACATTTCTTACGAGAACATTCGTCTAACACTGCATCCTCTTTGAGGGGTTGGAGGATTTCCTTAACTTTATTTGGTCCAGTCTTCACGGTCGATCTTTGAAATTTCAGACTCGCCATTGTTTTTCCATCACTTGATATATCTGTTTCTTCAGTAATCATGGCACCTTTTTTTGTTTTACACACTGTTTTGGATGTTTTGCCAAAAACATCACCATTTCTATGCAAAACTTCTTTAGAATCTATCAATTCACTCTTAGGCTCTAGAGGTAGACCGTTATTTAGCATGTTCTTTATACTATCACTACTAATATTTGAAGCTAGGAATTCATTCAAATCTTCATAACTTTGTATTGGTTGTCGTCTTTGGTCATTTTGCCAGGTTTTATCGAAACCATATATAGGTTCTGATTCGGCACCAAACCATTCTTTATCAGGTTTTTTGTTTGTTTCATCTGGAGCTGGTTCTATATTGTTGAAGTTATCTTCAAAAAACTCGTCCGTTAGCTCCGTTATTTGGGCGCCATCGCGTTTGGTGTCTACATCGTGAAAGAATGGGTTTGTTGGTGTGTTGATTTTTCTCCTTCCGTATAATTGCCTGTAGTACTTCTCTTGGTCTCCATACATCCAGCATACTTTCCACCATTGTTTGCACATCAATATGTTTGCTGAGTTCGATGATTTCACATGTCTCGTCGCGGTTGTCGACATTTTATTGTTTTTTATCACTTTGTACTAAACCTGTTGATGGTTACGTTTGGAATGAAGACGTGTTATATGGTATGGAATTATAGAGACAACAAATTATTTTAAGTATTTTTATTGCTCCATAATATTTTGATTGCAACTAATTGAAACGTGCAAATCTAATCAAATTTAAAAAGCTCTATTAAATATACTTTCAATGAATATAAGGGAAGTTCTCAAGTGAAAATAATACCCAATTACGTATCAATTCTATTACAGAGCAGTCTCTAGGATATTGCCTACTCTAGATCCTAAACATAAGGTACAAACCTACATCAATCATTACATCTTTATATTGTTCATCACGTCATTATTCCGTTAGCAAAAGGTTCATTTTCGGACACCATTGATGCTATGATATTTATAGCGTTGAAACCGATTACCCGTAATGCCGCACTCCTGCGCTTCCCTTTATTTATTGACTTTTTCTCATTCCCGCTATGTGATTTACCGGTTAATTTAAAATTTGAAACAGAGAGAATAATATTGGTTCGTAGAATAGATGAAAAAAGTTATTTTTATATAGCATTACAACTGAAATTATGCTTATTACTGAAATGCATTAAAAATATTATGAACTAGCTATGAAATTTGATTATACATATATGCTTGTTTCATATACCTACCCTCTACAGACTACACCATAAGTATTTGACCAAAGTTTCTGAGCTTAAAGCGATTAAAACATATTATAAACATCAGTTTTACAATAATGTATGGAAGTCTGCCCGATTTTTTGGCATTTATGATTACTGCTCGGCCATCTTGGGTAGTAGCATAATGATATAGCCTTCCTCAATAAACGGGATATCTAATGCAAAAATAATTTTCTAAATATTAGTTCCTGAGATTAGCGCGTTAAAACAAGTAAACAAACAAACTGCCACTTTATAATATTAGTATAGATTTTATATATTTAGGAAATATTATAAATATATGGATATTTAAACTTATCGAAGTTTTTCAATAAAAACTACCTAATTCAAAGTAAAATAGAGTTCTTATCTTAAAATTTTATATTGACTCGTAACAACTCTTAAAAGTATCATAATAATCGTTGCACTTTAGACCAAACACTTAAGGCACTATAATATTTAGTACGTTTTAATTAAAATATGCTCTTTTAAAGCTTATAATATTATATCTCGCAAATAAACTATTATTTATAAATGCGCAAGCGCAAAGCATAAAATTTCAACTCAATGTTAATGACCATTAAATTACTTATACATGTTTTATATATTTAATGTGAAGATAGACTACAGGAAGACGTAAGTAAGTACCGTTGTACGCGAAAATATTACGTGAATCTTTTCTTATTTATAACGTCATAATATATATTTTTTTGCAAAATATATGTAGGTATATGTTAATTTATTTACATTTTAAGTTTTATTTCATTTGTATAATCTAAAATCGATACAGAGGCCGCATCTATAGTTTTTAGATTTTTTTATTCTTATCTGCCTGTCTGTCTGCCTGGGAACACATCACGAGAAAACCACTGAACGCATTTTAGTCAAATTTGTATGTTGATAGCTGGTTGTTCGGGTCTACATTTGGGATACTTTTTAACGCGTAAAAATGTCTCATATATGAGATATCAATACCTTCAAATCGTTAAAACGTATTTAGGGACGAAACCGAGCGGAGTGAGTATAAGTTGCACATATATGTACGCAATATAGACACACACACACACACACGCACACATACACATATACACGCACACAAATATATTCTCAATTATCCCTTATATATTTTAAATTATCCTTTACATCTACTTATAATATCTTTTATATTGTAAATAGTATATAAAATGTATGTATGTATTTGTACATGCATTCAGACGCCGGGAAGTAATAGCAGAGCTAACGTAAGTTATCCTGCGCTAGATTCGAACGGAAAAATAATCAGTAAAAAATGTAACAGTACATTTTGTTGTACATTATATCCTTAATTAAAATTACCATTTGAGTAAGCTTCAACTAATAAAACATTTCGTTATGTAAGATTTAATTTAAATTTTAAATAATACTTCAGATTTCTAAGTTATAAATTTATTGAGGAAGCGGCTCAAGAGTTTGCTAAGTCACACAATTAGGTAGAGAAAAATCTATTTGCTTGTTAGTTTTGTTGCCTATAAGTTAATATTTTTTAAAACTACAGAGTCTAAATATTTTTTATCTAATAAAAAAGGTACATTTTAACAAAATAATACAATTTAACTGACCATGACACGTGAGCGAAAATCCCTAAAAAAACACGGCAATATAAATGTGAGTATTTATGAGGGCGTATGTGTTTATTACTTGACCCAATGAACTAGAGTGAAATTCGGAACGCAGATAACTTAAAAACTAAATCAACGCATAGGTTACTTTATATCAATGTACCTCGCAAGCGAGGCCGCCGGCAAAAACTTGTATCATAATAGCTATATATACTCAAAGAGATAGCAGAGGACTAAGCCCGACGCGTGAGCAAGGTGAGTGCGTATTAGAAACAGGATTGAAGTTTAAATTGAAATTGTATTAAAGCTACTAAATGTAATTATTGTTAAGTATAATTATTTTTATATATAAATAATTACTTTTTGTAACCTGGTATATGTATCATTATTATATGTATGCGAATAATATGATTAATAGATCTAATAATAATATATTGCTGCCTAATAGACAGCAATATACATACATATATTATGTTACACCCTGCTGATTATCGGATCAGCTAAAACTCTTTTAAGTATTTTCCAATTGAAGACTTCGGGCGTAAATTATATTGTCTGTTCTTTATGAAATAACACAAGACGTGCAAGTTATGTATGTAGTATTTTAACAGAGTCGGTAGGTTGACAAAAAGTTAATATTATATAAAATAGTACGCTTCTCGTAAGTTTATGATTGTAAAGAGTAAATAAATGAATTGGTTTTGTAAATTAGAAAATCTTAGCATTTTTGTAGAAACTGACTTTTGATTCTTAATTGAAAAAAAAATGGATCAAAAAATTATATATCTATCCATTTGTGGAATCAAAGCCCTAGCGTGTGCTATAATTTAATAGAATCAAGGCAAGTCACGTTGACCGAAGGCGAGTCCATTAAAAATCAATTATCAGTAAAAAGCGGCAGGTGGCCCCCGCCGCAGCCGCGGCCGCGCCGCCGCACGCTAGGTGCTATTGTATGTATGTATATAAATATATATGTTATTATTAAAAGGTGTATATTATTTCAATTTTATTACCTTAATTAGGAAAATCAGTTCTTTTATGATTATTCAATGAAATTATCCCAATCCTTGCTTGGATTTACGCGAATATTTGACATTTTAAATTAAAGTATTTGTTCGATTTTTTTCGCGGATTTACTTATTTTTACGCAGATTTTTGGTTTCCGACGTTTCTAATGCATTACAGTAATCATGGTCATGGTAGAGACTAAGGTTTTAGACGTCTCAAAGGCCTTTATATAGTTGTTACATACAGCACCTACCCACAAATTTATACAATGATATTAAAAATACAAAAATGGCACTAAAGTACCTTGCAATATTTGCTAATTTTTATTTCAGACTAATTAATTAATATTTATTTAATTTTAGTTGCTATTACATATTATAATTATTAGGATTTAAAAAAAAACAAACGCCGGAACCGAAAATCTAAATTTATTCACGAAAAATCGAAAATATAATTTTATTTAAAATTATCCCAATCCATAAAAACAAAATGTATTGGAATATATTTATAGAATTTTTCAGTATAATGTTAAAAATATCATAACAATTAATTTTGTGAGACTAGAACCCAAAACACCAGCATAATGAGCAGTCATGCCACCTATGGTAAAGCATCATCAAAATGCCAAGACTGATTAAAATGTAAAGTGGTAATTTGTTTTATTATAATATGATTGGATATGCAATGTTCACGTAAAGGTATCCTCATGAACTCATGCATGTTAATGAATGCGTGCCCAGAGGCTAATAAATTAAATTCTTTAAGGTAAAACGTGTACTAATTAATAAGCCGGCTAATCATTTTAACCTATAGGTACAAAGTAGTAACGATGTTACTATAAATTAAGTATAATTTGAAAAGTAAATAATAGGTAGAACCGTTGAAAGGCTAACAATTATAAATTTGCAGTCCTTTTTCTGAATGGAAGAAAGAAGATGCAACAACAAGGCGGACTAACTCTACATTGCATTTATATTTTTTGTGAAGCATTTTCAAAACGTATTTTTGTCTTTGACAAAACTTGAATCATATTTTTTAATATAATATAAAAAAACTAAAATAATCAACAGATCCGTCTTTTTACACTGGCTTCGAATACTTATTTATGTCTATTTTGTCAAAAATATAATGGTTTAGCCCCTTTTCCTTACATAATACTGCTGGTATTAAGACATTATGTTTATTAATGAGTGAAAAACCAATCTCATCTAAACAATGGACTATATAAATATAACACTGTTAAGGTTAATAATGAATAATAATTAGCATCTATGAATTTTACAATATTTTTCCACATACTCGTAGGTATCGATTTGTGTGATTTATATCATAAATTTGTTGATTTTTTGTCAAACAAGTGGCATTTGGACCAAATAAAGCGCAGTAAACAATATAATGCAGATACGATTTAATAATAAAATCCCGTGGTATAGTCCCGAATAACATTTTTTAACAGAATAATATTTGATACATCAAAAGGTCTTCTTCCACCCACAAACTATTACTAACTACAAAGTAACGAGCTTTATACAAATATTCATCCATTATAGTGTACCATTGAAAGTTGAAGTTTAATTTTAGAAGTCTTTTCTTATCCCTGATTTGACTGGTTAGTTATTATTAGATTTATAAAATACATCTCTAATACGATACTGAAAGTGAAACGCGTCAAGCAACTATAGGATCCGAATGAACTGAAAGGGACTCGAGCACACGACGTTCA